CCAAATCGGGGGACAAGCGCAGGTGCAAGCGACAGTCGCAATGCCGGCAGACAAACGAATCCAAGGTACACAAGTGCGAGGAGGGAGGGAGGGAGGGAGGGAGGGAGGGAGGGAGGGAGGGAGGGAGGGAGGGAAGGACAGAGCAGAAGATGAGAGCATGTTGGAGGAGGGGATGGAGCAGAACGAGGGATCCCATGAGCTTGCGAAATATCTTCTGACTTGGCGTACTGTACAGCAAGGACATCAGCAGCATCTCGATGAGGATCGGACACCACCCGCTGCCTCTTATCCTCCTCCTCCTCCTCCTCCTCCTCCTCTGTGTGCTCGACTACCAACTCGTTGTGGAAGCTGCGAGGGGAGAGGAGGAGGCGGCCATGTGCTCTCAGGATCTGCTCCGAGACCAGGAGCAGGAGATCGGTCGACTGAGGAGCGAAATCTCCGAGCTCAAACGCCTGCTCGAGGCCTGCAGAGGTCTAGCAGGACAGGGAGGGAGGGAGGCAGGGATTGGGAGGGCGAGCAGTGCAGGCGGCAGGAGGAGGAGATCAGGGAGCAGGCAGGAACGATCTCGATTCTTAGAGCCGCCATGCATGAGCTGCGCAAGGAGAAGCATCGGGATCCATCGAACTCGTCTCCTCCTCCTCCTCCTGACCAGGGACAGGATGCTCCAGACTCGGAAGCTGGCGGCCGTCAGGAGAGCAGGAGAGCGGGCAACCATGTGAGAGCGGTCAATGGGTGGGACGAGGACGAGGAGGGGCAGCTGGAGTGGGTGTATGGGATCCCGGAGGGGAAGAGAAAGGTTGTGATCGAGCTGGGATCGAACGATGGGCAGTGGATCTATGGCTTCATGATGTGAGTGGAGGAGGAGGAGGAGGAGGAGGAGGAGGAGGAGGAGGTGATGATGATGATGATGATGATGATGATGATGATGATGATTATGATGATGATGATGATTGCAACCATCATCATGGTCATGATATTCAACCATGATGATTGTTTGTCTTAGCCCGACCATCGTCCTCGTAGTGCTCGCTCGCTCCCTGATCTGTGTTCCTCCCCTCCTCCTCCGAGTGCCTTTCCTGCCTCGTTTCCTCTTCGTTTGCTCGCTGTTGTGCTCTTTCTCCGTACTCTCCTCCATCCCTCTCTTTCCCCTCTTCATCTTCCAGCTGATCTTCTGCTAGGAACCACCCGGAATTCTGGCCGATCATCGTAGAGGCGCAACCTGTTTTCAAAGATTCCCTTCGAGAAATTGCTCGCGATGTAGGGCATACTGATTGTAGCTGCTGCTGAAGAAGAAGAGGGAGAAGGAGATGATGACGATAATTCGGAGGAGCAGGACAAGAAAGTTGATAACGAGGAGGAGGAGGAGGAGGAGGAGGAGGATTTCCACGACGATGGCTAAGATGGTGATGAAGATGACGATTGATATGGCAGAATCAGGGAGTTTACATCCAGAAAGCAGCTTGGATCACAGACGGACAGAAGATGAAGTTCTACGGGCACAGCGACGCCGGGGGGATGGGCTCCTCACTGTTTCACGACTCTGTCTATCATGACGGCTGGTGTGTCGTGTAAGAGACGCTGGGACTCTTGACATGGACTACCTGCAAGGTGTGACGGGAAGATGAACTGCAGCGTGAAGCTCGGGGAGGAGTATGAAGTACAGACGTTGGATGTCGTCGAGTAAGCCGTGGAACTCTTTCGTGCTCCCCCCTCCACCTTCCAGCCTTGACCTCCCCTGCCCTCACTCTCCCGCCTCCCCTCTCCTCCCCTCCTCCCCCCTCTACACTTCTTCCAACTCCTCCCTTCTCCTCTCCCCTCTACATTCCTCTTCTTCCAACTCCTCCCTTCTCCTCCCCCCTCTACACTCCTCTTCTTCCAACTCCTCCCTTCTCATCCTCTCCGCAGGCTGGTCAAGTCAGTAGCGACTGAGAGCGACTTCGTCATCCTGCGCATGGATGTGGAGGGAGCCGAGTACGAGATCGTGAGGAAGATGATTGCCAGTCAAGTCTGTCACTTGACATGCGCACGCGATCTGATTAGGCCCACCAGGTCGCCTGCTGGATCGACTACTGGGAGCTAGAGGGTCATGCCATGTATGCCCCTCAGTAAGACCATGCAACTCCTCCTCCTCCTCCTCCTCCTCCTCTTGCCCTCATCATCATCATCATCATCATCACCACCACGACCTCCTCCTCCTCCTCCTCCTCCTCCTCCTCCTCCTCCCCTCCATCATCATCATATCATCATCTTCATCAGCATCCTCCTTCTCCTCTATCATTACCACTACTTCCTCCTCTCCCCCGCTGCCCATCTTCCTCCTCATCGCCTTTTCCTCTTCCTTCTCCCTCGTGTTCGGCTTCGCTGACCTTGGCTCTTTGCGCTCTCAGGAACTACAAGTTTCGCCCGGTCGACCTAGTTCTTCCTTGGCTGCTCAGAGCTTGCGGTGTCGAGATGAGAATTTTCCAGTACTACAAGGTGACAGCGAAAGTTCTCAATGTTGGAGTGGCCCCTCCTCCTCCTGAGGCTTGCTCCTTCTCCTCTTGCTCCTCCTCCTCTTGCTCCTCCTCCTGTTGCCCTCCTCCTGAATTTCCTGTTTCCCCATTATTATTCCTCCTCAAACCCTCTACCCTCTCTCATCCTGAGCAACCGAGTCCCTGCACTACTGAACCACCTCACCCACCCGGCCTCCTCCTCAACATTGTCCTCCTCCTCCTCCTCCTCCTCAGCAGGCGGCTCCCTCCTGCTCAACAAGTTTCTCCGCAGGCTGACCCGAAGCTGCTGCAGCAACGGGAGGAGATGGAGAGGGAGCAGGTAACTGTGTCCTCTGAGCCTCCTCCAGTCACTGAGGGGAGAGCAAGGGGAACTGCTCTTGGCAGCTGCTCGGCTATGACGCTTGCTCGGAGACTGGCTCTTGCCAGGGTATCGCAGAGACTTGAGGGTCATGAGAGGAGGTACCATAACGCCGGGCATGCTGCTGTTTCAGTGGCTGGGCAGCTTCGGATCCCATTCGGGGCCCGGGGCCCGCTCTCAGTACTCGGCCCGGAATCTTACTGCACTGAAAGACCCAAAAGACAGTAACACAAAACCTAGTACTTCCCTTACCAGCGAGATTGCTGTCCTGCCTAATCCGCTCTTCTGCACGGCATACTATGCATTTTCCGATGGTATTTACTATTAAGAGTATGCTCATGCTGACCGGGAGGGCTGCTGCTTCACGCCACATCTTGTCCCCAAAGGCCTTGACTCTGTTTGAAGCCAACGCTGCTCGATCGTCGATTCAGCCCTTGGAGGCTCACGGTTACTGGCACAGGTTGCGCGTTAGGTCTGAGCGTGTTGCGATGCGCGGAGGACAGGAGAAAGAGAGTACCAAGGAGCGGCATGAAGCAGCCTATGAGTACACCAACATGTCCCTTGAGGCGAAGATCGTGAGATCAGAGAAGATGATTAAAGAGGTCGATCGAGAAATGGAAAACGCAAAGCAGTGTTTGCTCGATCCAGACATGGATAAGCTCATACATTGGCAGACGAGAATCGAAGTGCTTCGAGCGAAAAAGAGCATGCTGCAAACAGAAAGGCTTTACCTGCTCGATGAATTCTTTGCCCAGTCTTCGCCCAAGGAGAAAACAGAGGGCTCAAGAGACCATCAGACCTGCACGTCACCTGATGAAGCCTGAAGGCGACGCTAGCGGTGCCGAGCACTGACGACTGAAGGCAAGGGACGGACGAGGCGAAGACAAAGTTTGTCGACAACTTCGTCACTCAGTCACATGAAAACCAGCGTCTTCTTGGAGTGCTCAGCAACAGCACGAGAGGGAAGGCCAGCAGAAGGACGAAGAAACACTTGGAATGATGGGGATGGAATATTCAACAAGGACAGCACTCAATCTCGAAGCTATCACATGAAACACGAGTCATCTTCTATCCCATACAGCCTGATACACTTCCATAACCTCCTCCTCCTTCCCGTCCTGGTCGCTGCTGCTAGCACCCCCGTACACCTCTCACCACCACCAGTACACCAGCACGTCGCTGCTGCTAGCACCCCCGTACACCTCTCACCACCACCAGTACACCAGCACGTCGCTGCTGCTAGCACACCCGTACACCTCTCACCACCACCAGTACACCAGCACGTCGCTGCTGCCAGCACACCCGTACACCTCTCACCACCACCAGTACACCAGCACGTCGCTGCTGCTAGCACACCCGTACACCTCTCACCACCACCAGTACACCAGCACGTCGCTGCTGCTAGCACCCCCGTACACCTCTCACCACCACCAGTACACCAGCACGAGTCGCTGCTGCTAGCTAGCACCCCCGTACACCTCTCACCACCACCAGTACACCAGCACGAGTCGCTGCTGCTAGCACCCCCGTACACCTCTCACCACCACCAGTACACCAGCACGAGTCGCTGCTGCTAGCACCCCCGTACACCTCTCACCACCACCAGTACACCAGCACGTCGCTGCTGCCAGCACACCCGTACACCTCTCACCAGTACACCAGCACGTCGCTGCTGCTAGCACACCCGTACACCTCTCACCACCACCAGTACACCAGCACGAGTCGCTGCTGCTAGCACCCCCGTACACCTCTCACCACCACCAGTACACCAGCACGAGTCGCTGCTGCTAGCTAGCACCCCCGTACACCTCTCACCACCACCAGTACACCAGCACGAGTCGCTGCTGCTAGCACCCCCGTACACCTCTCACCACCACCAGTACACCAGCACGAGTCGCTGCTGCTAGCACCCCCGTACACCTCTCACCACCACCAGTACACCAGCACGTCGCTGCTGCCAGCACACCCGTACACCTCTCACCACCACCAGTACACCAGCACGTCGCTGCTGCTAGCACCCCCGTACACCTCTCACCACCACCAGTACACCAGCACGAGTCGCTGCTGCCAGCACACCCGTACACCTCTCACCACCACCAGTACACCAGCACGTCTCGCTGCTGCTAGCACACCCGTACACCTCTCACCACCACCAGTACACCAGCACGTCGCTGCTGCCAGCACACCCGTACACCTCTCACCACCACCAGTACACCAGCACGTCTCGCTGCTGCTAGCTAGCACACCCGTACACCTCTCACCACGACTAGTCTTGACTTGTCGGATCGGCGTGAACTCTGTCAACTCGTTCCACGACAAGTAAGACGCTACTACAGATTGTAACGGAACCCGACGGTTACCCAACGGATTGGTTTTGGATGTTGCTTTTTGACGTCGGGTCAACGGATAAAAATGCTGGCGTTGCCAGTGATGTCGACCGACGTCAGAGGGGAGGAGGAGATCCCGTGAGGGAAAGAAGCCAAGTGAGAAGAAGGGGAAGAAGGACGGTAGAGGCAAGTGAGAAGAAGGGGAAGAAGGACGGTAGAGGCAAGTGAGAAGGATGGAAGAGGTAGAAGACAGGGAGCTTCGAGGTTGAAATGGACCTCAAGGGAGAAATCAGCCATGTGAAGAGAGAGAAATAAATTAAACTCTCTAGCGCAGCCATCTCCATATCTGAGCTCTCTGCTCCTTCTCTCTGTTTGGATGCGTGTGCAGAGAACTCTCCCATACTTCGATTGCATCTCACGTTGCATAACATTACTAAGATGAGTGCAATCCACATCGTGATGATGTAACATGGTGACATGCGAGGAGGGTAGCTGATGCTGTGCATTGCGCAGGTTGATACAGAAACAAACACCGTCAGAGCATCAAAACTTTACCAAGATGGAGGACGCGGCTAGCAGCAAAAATCCTCTCAACCAGATGAGGAACTGGGAGGCAGTAGTGAGCATCCATGACGACCTGCGCTCCTCCTCCAGCCTCTCACACGCCATGTCAGATCATGAAGGAGAACGCCGTCATGAGAGAGTGGGAAGGGTCCTGGGGATTCATGCGGTCGGCGCCTCAGGTACGCAACGACGCGAGGAGTTTTCAGCTCGTGACGCTTGCATGGCGGCAGAAAGAACGCTTGTTCGAGGTGGGAACCTGCAAGTACTACTCCAAGGGACTCGACGGCACCTGCCAGGCTACGCTCCGCCACAAGCGAATCCCCATCCTAGCACGTGCCTCCTCCGAGCTAGAGGACAAGGAGAAGGCGTTGTTGGAGACTAAGATCTGCAAGCAGCGGGAGGGTCCGGAGATGACAAGCTCGCAAGCTTACGGTGCCTGCTGTTGCTGTTCCTCCTCGGCGTGACCCGTTAGCAGGGGCAAGAAAGAATATCGAGTTGTTTGGAATTTCTGATTTCGGGAGAGGAAAATTGAGCCTCCTCGTGGGAGGGAAGGTCAGCTTGTTGATTTCTGTCGTGCAGTCAACAGGAGCTGATCTTACTGTCAGAGCATGACCAAAGGCTTCCGATACATCTGATCTTCAATCTCCTGCTTAACAGCACTCTCTCGCTCTTTTCCCGTCCTTCAAAGTACATGAACATCACCTTCAAAAGTCTGCAAGGCCTTTGTTGTTTGCCCGTCCTCTCCGCTAAAAATCACGTCGTTCCAGTAATCATGCGCTCCACCGAAGTGAAGCGGATCAAACTTGAGGCCACTTCCGTCTTCCTCCTCTTCTTCGTCGTCAGAGCTGCTCTGAGTCTCAGCACACCGAGCGAGGACCATCAGCACAGCATCACCTCTCGATGTAGTTGAAATCCGAAGACTTCTTGGAAGATGCTCGAGACAGCATGCTCTGGATGTCTTTATCCTTTCGCTTGACGGCGAAGGACATTGGAAGGCTTCCCCACCTGTCCTTCCTCAAGGGATCTGCTCCGTGTCTCAGCAGAAGCTCCACCTGTTTATGAACCATCAATAGACATCCCCGCCAACAACCCCTGGTAGCCTCCCCGCCCCTCCGCCCACGCCCCGAATTCAAACTCCTCTTTTCCCGTCTCTCTCTTCCATTCCCCCTTTCCTGTCTCTTCTCATGTCTTGTCCTGTCCTCTCCCAGCATCGCATACCATTTCACGCTGTCCTGTTCTCACAGCAGTGAGCAAGGGTGTGGCTTCGGCGTAGTCAACGATGCTGATGTTACAGCCCAACGAGATCATCTCTTCTACCAATCGAACATGCCCAGCAAGCTACAATAAAGGTCAGCAGCAGCCCCTCTACCCCCGCCTGCTATCCCTTTCCCTTCCAAACCCCGCCTCTGCACTTCTGTCCTATTGCTCCTCCTCTCCCCTTTGCTCCCTGGCTTGCTCTCCTTTCTTGCACTTTCACCTCCCTCAAACCCTCTTGACCTACCACTGCTCGATGCACAGGGGTCCGTTGGAGGGAGTCGAAGGAGTTCATGGGTGTGCCCGACTGCAGGAGCAGGCGGATAATCGCTAAATTTCCTTGGTCTGCCGCGAGATGCAGCACATTGGTTCCGAACGTAGCTCTGGCAAGGGGAAAGCACGTCTCAGAGCATGGCGAGATCGGAACAGGATTATCACTTCAGCGCTCCTGACGCTCCTGACGCTACGAGCATGCGAGCAACTGATACGGTAGGGCAGAGCTCGGAGGAAGGAATGGAATGTATCATCTCGGCCTGGCAGTAGGTCATGCAAAGGCATCGCTCCATCCCGCATGGCTGCCAAGGACGCAAAGCAACGTAGTGCAATGCCGTCAAGTTCCTGTCGTTAGGGTTGCGAGACCTGACGCTCGCCCCTTTGCTGATTGCTTCCTCCGCGCCGGAAAGATTCAATTCCCGGCAGGCCTCCCACAGTAGTTGATCCGCGTCTCTCACGGGAGTTGCGCCTGCACCTTATGATGTAGCTCAACGAGGCGACGAGTCATCGAGACTTTACCTGCCCCATTGCTCTGCTGAGGACCTCCGCTGCTCCCTCCCCTCAAGTTCGCTGGGTCGGCCCGCCAGCAGCAGTGGGTGACAGTTCCATGCGGGGAAGCGGCTTGGATTGCGACAAACAGAAAAGCGATTGCATAATCCTTCTTTGCTCCCATACTTCGACCGATCTTGATAATTCAGACCCGCGTTGTCTACTGGACCTTTCACGAAGATCTATAACGTTGTGTAGTCTAGCAACACGATCATGACTCGACGATTACGAGCAAGATATTCTAAGGAAGACATATTTGAGTCAGAACATCAAGACAGCATTGATGCATACATGACCTCCCTCCCTCTCCCTCCCTTCCTCCTCTTCTCCTCGGTTCCCTCCCTTCTCCTTCGCTGCCCTGCCCTCCTCCTCTCTTTCCCTCCTTCACCTCTCCTCCTCCCCCCTCCTCTCCCCAAACTTCTCTTCTCCACCCTCTCCGTCTCCTCTCTCTCCGTCTCCTCCCTCTTTCTCTCCTCCCTCTCCGTCTCCTCCCTCTCCCTCCCTTCCCTTCCTCTTCCGCTCCCTCCATGTCGTTCCTATCGGGCGTAATGCAGAGGGGGTTCAAAGGAAGGGGGCCCAAAGTACCGGTCTTACAGCCCACATGCAAAGGGGTAGGGGTACGAACAAAAAGAATCCAAGTACCGGGTGCTACGAAGGGCAAAGAGGGGGTAGAGGTGATCAACTGAGATACCAAGAAGGGCCACGAGGGGGTAGGGTGGTGAAATTTAGCAGGTTGGGGTGCTGAGAAGGGGTGGGGAGGGGTAGGGTACTTTGGTTGAGGTCGGTGGGGTAGTGGGGTACGAAAGCGCAGGGAACAATGGCGAAAGTTTTGAGCTTGTTTGTCCTGATGATGGCGGCGATAGCGATGTGCGAAGGTCGACGAGGACATGGTGACAGGGGAACCCATGAAGACTTCGCCAAGGACAAGAAGTCTCATGGCTGCAACCATGGATGGAGCTCGGGATGGGGCAAGGGTTGGGACTGTTGCGGTGGAGCGTGGGGGAGCCGACAAAGTGGCTGCGGGACAGGATGGAGCTTTTTTGATGGCATGGGACTGGATGGAAACGTGATTAGACATGCAACCGACAAGGTGAGAGGATGGGTGCATGCTGTGCTCTCCAGGACAAGCCCGTCCTCGAGCTCGTTGGCTGACGAGCTGTTTGTCTGGCCTTGCTGATTGCTGGGTTCCAGGTTCGAGAGCTCAAGTCGAGCATGAAGCACATGGTGGAATCGATGCACACGGTCGATATAACGCCCCTCTGCCCCCATCTGAAGAAGAAGAATGACGAGCTGGAAGAACTGCTGCACGACTGTGAACTCAAGGTCAGAGCAACAATCGGCGGCACCCCAGAGCTCACAGGTTTCTTCCTTTACAGGTCTCAAAGAATCGTCTCAAGGAAGAATCGAAGCGGGAGGAAACAGAGCAGAGCTGCCGAAGGAGAATCAACGAGCTCGAGGAGAAGGTTTCTGAAAGATGCTGTGTAACGGGCCGTGGATGACATCGTTTCAGGTGGAAAGGGCCAAGGACAGGGGACACAACAAGAAAGACAGGCTGAGAGATGCGCTGAGCGAGAACAAGATCCTTAGAGCAAGACTTGATGCATGCTCGGAGCAGATGGTTGACTTCACTGCCAAGCTGAGGGATGCGGAGAGCAGGTTGATGGCTGCGAACGAGCTGCTGAGGAAGGCGAAGGGAGGAGGTGCAATTCAGTCTGTTCCCGACAACGAGGTGGAGCAGACATTGAGTTCAAAACCTGTTCTTGTCGATGTAAAGATTGCCCGTGTCTCGAGCGAAGGCCTGACCCCCGACGAGCCTCCGTCCGAGAATGCAGCTCCCTCCGACATCGGACAAGTGAAAACGGTACGTTGAACACGCAGAGGAAGTCTTGGAGTTCATGTCGATTTTTTCAGATGAGCAACGTGAAGGAGAGCATGCTTGATGTCTGGCTGCTCCTAGTGTGCTTGATCTTGAGCGGTGTCTTCTGCAGCATGCCGTCGGAGCATGAAGAGCAACCGGCTATCGCATGTGAACGTGAAGGTCAGGAAAGAGATGGAGAGCAGGACGAGGCCAAGGAAGAGGGTCAGGCTGTGGATCAAGATGAGGACAAGCAGGAAGAGGAAGAGCTATCGGAGAAGCGACATGAAAGAAGGGAGAGTGGACCCACGAACGATGAGGAGGCCGATGACCTCGACGCTGATGACGACCCGGAGGACTTTGCAAGATCTTCTTTGGTAGAGCCGAAGCCCTCTGCTGTAACGGGAGAGCGACGCGATGCTGAGGGAGACGACATCTTGCAGTCAGATGGAGCAGCTAGGAGGGGAAGCTGTGCCGATGAACCGGAACATGTTGAGATGGTAGCCCAGGAGGGACAAGGTCAAGTTCAACACGATGGAGAAGAAAGCATTGCAGCAGGTGAATGGCAGGCGGGAGAGGGAGAAAAGGCAAGAGAAGGAGGACGAGCATCGACAGGGGAACAGGGAGGAGCAAAAGAGGAAGGTGATCAACAGAAGAGCACAGATTTGGCCAACGGAGAGCAGAATAGCGATGGTCAGACGACCAAGGGGGGGGATGATTTCGGCAAGGGAGCAGGAGCAGAAGCAGAAGCGAATTCCTTCCGCGAAGTTGAAGATTTTTCTGCCCGACATGATGTCATGACGGGTGGACGTGAAAGATAACGCTGACGGGGAGGAGGAGGAGGAGGAGGAGGAGGAGGAGGAGGAGGAGGAGGAGGAGGAGGAGGAGGAGGAGGAATGGGAGCTGATCGAGCGCCCGACGCATCTCGAGAGTGAAAACTTTCACATGCCACATTAACATCACCAACAATGAGCGGTGAATGAGTTTGAATCTGGAAAAAATAATATCTATCTTGAACCTGGCCAAGCAATCAGAGTCAAACATGCGCCAAACAACATGACAAGTCAAAACCTTGAAATGACTGCACCACCAAAGTCCCGTTGAGAGCTATGATAATGAGCGCGACCAGCCATGCGATGACTTGTGTGACCTTCGAGTTCGCGTACTCGCCCATCAGCTGCTTGTTGCCAGTGAACATGACGAGCGGAACCACGGCGAAGGGCAGCTGCAGGGAGAGAACGATCTGAAAAACTCAACTTCAGTGTTTTCCTTCCTCCTCCTCTCCCCCCTCTCCCTCCTGACCTGGCTGATGATCAACAAGTTGTTCACTCCTCCATCGCCCGTCGCGAGCAGCATAATGAGCGCCGGCAGGATGGCAACTAGACGAGTCCCAATCCTCAAGATGTAGCCCTTGACCTTCTTGTTCAAGAATCCCTCCATCACCACTTGCCCCGCAAGCGTCCCCGTGATCGTACTTTGTTGTCCGCTTGCAAGCAAAGCGCATCCGAAGAGGATGGAGGACAGCTTCGAGCCCAGCACGCGAGACAGCAGCTCCGACGCCTGCCCAATGTCGGCCACGTCGTTGTGCCCCGACCGGTAGAAGGTCGCCGCCGACACGACGAGGATGGCGGCGTTGACGAAGAAGGCGAGGACGAGAGACAGGTTGCAGTCCATGGTGGAGTACAGGACGGCCTTGGCGATGGCAGAAGACGATTTTGACTTGTCTCGCACCTGCACGAGGCTGCTGTGCAGGTACAGATTCTGCGGCATCACCGTCGCTCCAAGGATGCCGACGCCGACGAAGAGCATGCCAGGGTTGGTGATGAGGCTCGCCGACGGCACGAAACATCCCTTGAGCATCTCGATTCCGTCGGGGCGGGCGAAGGCAAGCTCGACAGCGAAGCAGACGCAGATGGTGGTGATCATGGCGACGATGAGGACCTCGATGATACGCATGCGGTTCTCCCCTATGACGAGGAGGACAAGGACGTCGAAGGCGGTGATGACGACTCCCCATATGAGGGGGATCCCGAAGAGAAGGTTGAACGCGATCGCTGACCCGATCACCTCCGCAAGGTCGCACGCACAGACGGCAAGTTGGGCCGTGACCCACAGGAACCTGTAGGTCCACTTGGAGTATCTCAGCCGACAAGCCTACAAGGCGTGCAGTCAGCAAATGTGACGGTACAGATGAAAAGGAGGAAGACGAGGACGAGGGAGAGAGAACAATGGAACCTGAGCCAAGTCAAGCTTCGTCACCAGTCCCAACCTCAACGAGAGCGTCTGCACAAACATGGCGATGATCGAAGACAGCAAGACAACAAACAAGAGCTGGTAGTTGTACGCTGACCCTGCTTGCAGATCTGTCGCCCAGTTCCCGGGATCCATGTAGCCAACAGCGACAAGGGCACCGGACCCGACGTAAGGCTTCACCCTCGACCAGCATCCCTCTTGCTTCACCAGGGACATGTCATGCTCACATCCTAGCAGATCTGAATGTGAAGTCTCGCTGACCTCCGTTTCTCGAGTCGAGAACTGAGTTGAGGTGGGAGCGGGTCCGTCCTTTCCCCCCTCGACCTCCCTCATGATGCTGGTCAGGTCGTCCAACTCCATCTTCGGGGACACCACCCGCAGCGCCAGCACCACGTCCTGGTTGTCCACCGCCGAACTGAGCTCCACGCCAGATCGATCGATCTCGATCATGGCGTTTGAGCTGGGGCTGCGGACAACAATGGCATGTCATGACTGGTGGAATAAGCATCTCTTTTGTCTTTGCGAGGATGTCACCTCAGCGATCTCATCGAGGTTTTGGTTCTCGTTCTACCTTCCTCTGTCTCCTCCTCCTGCCTTGTTCCATCATCTCCCCAGGCCTAAAGCGCTTGCTTTCACTAGCTATGCAAACTCGAGAGAAATTGCATCCTCAACAAACACAACTCACGCGTGCTGGGTTGGGATATCTGCTGCAAGGTATCTTTCCTCAAACTTCACTCCTCTACCTCCATATCAGTTGACGTTCTTCTCCTCTCATACATCTCTACTCTACTTGCACCACAATCCAGAAAGTTCTGTTTCCTGTTGCTCCCTTTACCAGGGCTCGCTCCCGTCTCCATCCTACCAGCTCCTCAGCGATGATCTGCATTTCTACCTGAGACCTTCTCCTTATTCTTCAGTGCCAGGAAGTCATCTCACCCCTCTTCCTTCAATCTCCACAGAACCTCAAACAGGCCAACCCCCGCCAGCCTCCCTCCCTCCCTCCCTCCCTCCCTCCCTCCCTCCCTCCCTTTCTCAAACCTCTCCTATCCATCTCTGTCTCGTCCCTCAATGTAAGTCTCTTCCTCCTCCTCCTCCTCCTCCTCCTCCTCCTCCTCCTCCTCCACACTTCGTGTGATGCCCTCATCATACTGACCCATTTTCACCCTTATCCACCTGAACTACCCTACCCCAACATTTATGAGTCTCCAAACAATCACCCCCATAATCACCCCTCCAATTTCCCAGAAATTCACCCCTCTTTTGACCTAAAACCTACCCACCCCGTTGTGTCCATGTCGCTTGCTTGTAGGATAGTCACTTGTGTATGAGGGGGATGAGAATTTGTCTTTTTGGATGAGCGGGGACGAGGGACACGACGGGTCAAGGCCGGTGGGCCACCAGCTGTGCAGGATGCAGTCGGCGCGAGCGCTATGGGCGTCCATAGAGACGATGAGAGGAGGAGGAGGAGGAGGAGGAGGCGAGGGAGGAGGAGGAGGAGGCGAGATACAGAGCGGAGGAGAGCATGGAAGAGGGGCGCAGGAAGAAGGCGTGGAAGGGCAGGGACTTCGAGAAGACGAGGAGGGGACTGGGAAGGAGAGAGAAAGGCTCGAAGCAGAGGTTGAGAACGGAGATGGTGAACTTGTACGTCACATAGGGAGCAACGGTGACGGGGAGGGAGGGGGAAGGCAGCTGTCTGAAAGATCCCCCATGAAAGAACCAGGGCCGAACACAATGGCTTCTGGCGAGAGCCCAAAGTCACCGCGGACAGTCAAAGACACGTCGGGCATATCGTACGTGATGAAGAAGCAGCAGGAGAAGGCTGCTCTGAGGAAACGATTGGAGAGCGTGGAGGCAGAGCTGAACGAAGCTAAGGGGAAGAACCAAACCATCCTCCTGGAGATGGAGAAACTTCGAAACCGACTGCAAGCTCGGCACACCGTCCGCGAGTCCTCCGCCAACCAGATAGAGAGTTTGAATGCCGAGGTCGTCCGGCAGGAGGTCTGTGCTGCTTGCCTTGTCCTCCCAGACGTTGATGAGCTTGTTAGCAAGAGATCAGGGAGCTGCGGAGAAGAAACGAGCATCTTGACGCACGATTGCGACAGGTGCTGGAGAAGAGTCAGCAGGTAGGGAGATCCTTCAGATAGCTTCCATGCTGCGAGCTTGACCTTGGAGGGGACAGGACGCAAGGCTCCTTGTCGAAGCGCGGGATGAGTTGGAATGGTGGAAGCGAATGGACGGGGAAAGGGAGGCGGTGCTGAAGGAGCGGGAGGAGGCAGTGAAGAAGCAAGCGGTGCTGCAGCAGGCGGAGCTGATCCGAGACAAGGAGAGCGTAGCTGTCTCCCTCTCGAAGCTGCGGACCATGCAGGATTACCTGGTGGTGAGGGAGCACAGGGTGAAGAATTTCTTCGAGAGCTTTCGAGCGAGAGGTCGCACTACCTGTCCTTTTCCTCTTCGGCCTCTTAGCACCTCTGCAGTCATCTGGCATCGACCTATCCTGAGAATGTGGGCGGAGCTGGCGAAGCTGAAGAGGGTGAGGAGGAGGAAGAGGAGGGGGGGAGGGGGAAGGGGGGAGTGGAAGGCGGTGGTATCGATGAAGGAGAGGGGCAGGAGGAGGAGGAGGAGGAGGAGAATCTGCTTGAGATGTGAAATTTCGATGCATATACAGCGAGTTCGTCTGTTTCGAAAGAGGACGCTGGTGACTACCAGAAGTCGCCATGTTCGATTATGCTTTCATCGATGGTCTCCACTACCATCCTCCTGTCTTGTGCTCACTTCGTCTCCCCACTACCTAGGCAGCTCTCCTGCCCCTCTGCTTTTCCCCTGTCAGACGATTGCCTCTTCCTCTCCTCCTTCTTCCTCCTCTCTCCCCTCCTCTCCCCCTGTCTCCGTCCTCATTCCTCCTCCTCC